AGAAGGGTTGCTATGCTCACGAATCCCTTTCTCCTGCTGTAGGGGTCGTACATGACAGCTCTGGTGAGTAAGGTACAGGTGTTATGGGAATCTGTGACTTGAACGAGACGGACGACTGCGAGGACCCGGGTCCAGGTGAATGGCAATCGCCTTGTGCAAAGGAGGTAGTGGTGCAAAATAGTTCAGGAGAGGCCTTGACGCATTCTCGGAAAGGGAGGGAAGGGCATTCTGCAGTGTCAAGAGCTTTACCTAACCTGTTAGCAAGTCCATTTTTAATATGAACTCTAATGTGAGTTACAAAAACATAGCAAGAATGCATTACACATACCATTTATTTGCATCATTGCTCTAGGAAGAGCTTCGCTGTCCCTGGACGGTGGGTAAATGTGAGGGATTGTCGACGAAGATATCTTGTTGATGGGATGAGATAAAGTAGATGGCGAAGTAGTGGGACCTACGCCGGCGGCAGGAGACGTGGGACCTGCAGGGGCTGGTTTGGAGATATCTTTCGAAAACGATAAACCAGGGCCGGAGTCTGTGCCGGTGCCATTTCGTGCACTATCGACAGGCGTTTCGGGTTCAGGTGAGGAAAAAGAAGAATATTTTGGATAGATGTAGTCGAGGGATAGGTGACGAATGTGACGGGAGGGGGAGAAAGATGGGTCTGGTGAAACTCTGGGAAGTGGTTTTTGTCCAGACGGTGGGGTCGCAGTGGGAGGACTAGCCTGAGGCTTCCGCGACCGACCGCGTCGGAGCTTCACATGATGACCAGTTTGCTCCAGCGGAGGACGCTTTCGAGGCCGACCACGTCCACGCTTCGGCTGAGGCGTATCTTCGGGCCTCAATGGATGCTTCCGCGGACGACCCCGGCCACGCTTCAGCGTCCCCTCTGAGGTGCCTGTCATGGTGATGTTGATGTATGGATTTAGGAAGGGATGCTTGATATTACTGATAAAAAAAGTGAAGGTTGATGTGGAATTAGGATCACATCTTCATCAGAGGAATGTACTACTTTATATAGAAGAAATAAAGGCAGTAGAACTTGAGATAGTCCATTCAATACAAGGCTTAAAGTCACGGATTTCTAGGGTGAGACCACGGTTAGGTTAGTGTGATGATTTACATCCGGAACGGAGACCGCATACGTGGGTTAGCCAATAAAAACGGTAACTTGATCACAACACCGAAAATGATTATGCGGGTTTCAGTGTGGGTCAAATAATACCACAACTATTGGTTAGACATACCTAGAGAACGTGAGGGGAACAAGGATTATGGGACTGTGGTGTAGCTAACAGGTTCTATGAGTACCTGTAGAGGAGTTTAGGTGGGCAATCTCTGTGTAAGTATATTGGACTTACTGCGTCGGTCTAGTTCGTGCGATATCAATTATGAGATAGATGGAAAAAATCTAGAAAAAACAATGGAAGATGTAGTTTGTAGTCATCATGTAGCTGAAGCTCTCTAAAAGCGTGCATCGCAGACATCAGGACGTCGAGTACTGGAGTTCATACGATTGGAATTATCATGAACATAGATACATGTATCTAGGGCTATTATGCAGGTACATAATGACTTGTTAATGCCTGGGCTGAAGGGGTATTATAACCGTTTCTAAGGTGGGAATCTGGTTACTGTGCTGGATTGCGTGATTCGAGTTAAGAAATGAATGTGTGATTACGTACAAGGTCACTTGTGAGAAGGAAATGTATCTCAAGGACCGTTTTTACTATAGGCGAACCATTTTTTTGGTGTTGTACCTTTTCTGATAAGAAACCAGGACCGTGCGCAGATTTTTTCGACCAATCCTAACCAATTGTCAAACCAAATTTGGTTTAGGGATTAGACTCCTAACTGTTAGGGTAAGGAGATAGCGTTCTTTACTACAAACGCTCGCACAAACCACACCAAGTACAGCAGGTTCTAGATCGCCTTGAAGCCACTGGGCTGGTTTATCACGCATACACCCACTCTTCCCCTTCGATCGGGGAGATATTTGTCTACATCGAGGACCTGCCGAGATCTTTACGCGAGAAACTTAACATCATGCCAGGGGTGGGCCTACGTTTTCATTTTCTTTCGACCTTGGACTCCAGGCTAATGACGTTCCTCCCAACAGGTCCTCAAATGCTACTCATGGGAATTTTTTCGAGAAGAGGTTATGAACAACCAGGCCCCACGAGGAGTGGTAGGCAGCAGACATTCAGCCGATGCTGTGAACAGTAGCATTCACGAGCGCCGAGCGGAGACCGAACCCATCATCGATACGGCTTGGCATCGCTCTCAGATCTCCAGTGCCCCTGGTCAGGATTGGTCACCTGAAGGAATCTGGTATGCGCCCGAGCGAACCTACCTGCACGAGTATTTTCACGACGACACATTGGGACAGGGTCAGTACATATACGTGTATGAAGATGGGGTCACAGATGGCTTTAAGGTACGTCCGAGTGGTTCACCACATAGGAACAGCGCGGTCGATTTTAGCATCTTGACTGACTCTCATGTCTCCGCATAGGCCAAGGCAGAAGACAATTTGGAGTTGATCAGCCTGGAATATCCCATGAGAGGCGGAGATGCGAGCGTAGACCACGGGACTCTAGTTGGCTCTTTCGCCATATCCTCCTCCGGCGGTATTGCTACCAAGGCCACGATGGTAACATTCGACGGTTCCATGCAGTTGACCGGTACCGTTCGATACGAAAAGATTTTAGCCGGTCTTTTGGCCATAATCAAAGACATTGAGTACGTGGACAAGAACAAGGGGCGAGAAGGACGACAAGGAAAGTGCGTCGTCAACATATCGTCCGGCGTATCTTTTCTAGCAGCTTGCGTGTCGGGATTCACACGACAGTTTCGTGAGTAATACCCCAATTTGCCAAGGAACGTCCAGGGCGGTTTCGTTGAGGAAAGACTGACACTGAGCAAAATAGAGATACTTTTGAAGCATCTCCAAAATTCGTTGGGGTGCGTCGTTGTTCTCGCAGCTGGAAACTACGACGATTGTTTCGCCTATTCAGATCATTGGTTACCTCAAGCGTTCAAGTTCCAGGAACTTATACCCGACTTGATGATCATTGGTGGCTCGGGACTCTATGGGAAAAGGTCGCTGAACAGCTTGCCATGGAATGATGGAACCGATAGTGGAATGGTTTACGCTCCGGGCCTGATGTTGGAACTTGGGTCAAGCACAGATATTTATGGGACGTCTTTTGGTATGTTGAATCCCGAGAACATGCATGTTCGTAGCCATCTTGTTTCACGATCTGACCTGGACTATGGCAGCTGCCCCACAAGTAGCGGGATTATCCGCCTATCTCCGCGGCCTGGACTCTCCATACGCTCAAGACTTTCGCGATCCCATAGTGTTGGTCAAGATGATCAGGTATCTTTCCAGAAAGGTGAAGGCCGTCGATACCCGTGTCCCCTCCCCAAGCCGACCTCCCAAGGCCGGAGATGTTGCGGAGCAGCCCGATAGACCTGTGCGGGTTGTTTGGAATGGCAACGTAGGAAAGGAAAATTGCTTCACCGGATATAGCACCGAGTTGGCAAGAAAGATCTGCGACCAGTACATGCTCCCACTTCCTCCTCCGGGAAGCCTTACATCTTGGATTCCCGACTATGGGGTTAGTGATCGCCTATGGGCAGGCGGCGCCGGCGGTTCACAAGGGGATATTACCTGGTAAGGATCATTACTCATTGTTGTCATCCTCATTATGGCTTATGGCTGACGCTTGTACGTAGGGAGGAAGGACCCGCCTCGCCGACCTGCGAGGCTGACTGCGGGACGCTATGCACCGGTTACTACTGCGTGGCGAAGCCGACGGGGAGCCCTCCCGATTTTGGCGATCCTGTAAATAGCCCCGGAGTCACCTCGACAACAACGGCTAGACCAGCGACAACAGTGCCACCTAGCCCTCCCGCTCCAACCGAGAAGCCTGAGCCTGAGCCACCCGTGGTGCCCTCTGCAGACTGCTACTATTGGTGAGTGAAAAAGCGCCGAGTTGACGTTCTTTTCTTTTCATGACTAACTGTAATTGACAGGGACAAAATCCTGTTCTATACGTTTGAGATCTACAACATGGTCGGTTGGGCTGACGGCGGCGGGGACAAGCTCCGGGACGAGATGAATGGCTGTGGCGCAATCACGGATTGGGACTGGTACGAGCAGGGTGGCACTACGTTCAAGAGGGTATGGTTCAATCTTCCGTTGTTTATCAAGGACGGCTGCGTCGAGCGTGCCATTGTGTCCGCAGGTGGTCCTAAGCTTTCCTGTGTCGGAAAGGGACTGGAAGACGGCCCGCGGAAGAAAAGGGACTTGGACGTAGGCAAGGTTGCTAAGGCCCTTCCATTGACCGTCCCCGCCACAACGAAACCAATTCCAGTCGCACCTAGTCTACCGGAGCGCACAGCCGGGCCGCCGTACTCATACGGCACGACGCCACTGTCGCACTCTTATAGCCCTCTGTGGTGGTCTTCCGAGAGCCAGTTAGCCGTCACCACAACCGTGGGCTCGTCCAATCTCGATAGTAGCACCAGGGGCTTCGAGACCATCGTCCGACGGACCGACAGGTAAATGCACAGAGTCGACTTTCGTGCATCATCTTTGATCCTAGTGACTGGAAATGTATAGAGATAGATAAATGCTCTTAGCTTGGGAAAATTACTAAAGCAACCTTGAGCAGCTCGTGTGAAGCTTGGTTAAGTATTCGTCACCTTCTTCTTAAATATACTGAATGATGTACTTCGGACTGCTTTAACCTGTCGCGCACTTTCACGTGAGAGTCCCCATTTGTTACAACATGACCCGCGTTTTTTATGAACCAAGGTATATGCATCTGTCTTTTAGTATTATGAGATTCTCTGGCGAGCGTGTCTGACATCACTTTTCTGAATAGAGCTACAGCTGTTGATAACACATTTGCCAATACCATAAAACTAAGTACAGAGCAATCGCATGTACTTTAAATAATTGTCCTGTTCAACTGTGTAGAAACATGTATTCACGCCACTGCGTCAACTACAAAGACCCAACCTCCTTCAGCATCCGGGGTGATATCAGCAAGGCAGTACCTCGGAGTCCGCACACTGTCGCAGATTGTCAGCAGTATTCAGATCAGATAACGAATAACACACCTCCAGAGCCAACTAGTTCTGCACATGTTTTTGCAGTTGTTGACGAGGACTTCGATGTCTTTCTCATGAGGTGTGCCTTTGAACCGTCGAGTAGCCTTTTCGGCAGCATCATCAAGGGCGTACACCTCCAGCTGCATGCGAGCCGCGGCACCATCAACCCCTCTTTGCACGTCACCATCAGCTAGAAGAACCACAAGGTTCTCGACAAATCCTTCTTTCACCTCTTTTCGGAGGCTGACAATATCGTTTAAGATGAAGCAGATAGCCACAGCAGACTCATACAGTCGACACATTTCTGGCGTTTTCATAACCTCTTCTGCCATGTGGACGTTGTTGGCGAATTCGAAATTGACAACCACCTGCATTATGCAAGATGATGCCGCCCGATAACCTAGATACTCCTCGAGGGATGGTACCCGACCTTGATGTCGATTCATAGCCTCATGATGGTAACCGTCAAGAGTAGCGATAGCCTCTCGCGCGATTCGCGAGCGGTAGGCATGGTTGTCGCCAAATGTCTTCATGACGGCGCCCGCATACTCCTTGAAAGACGTGACAGCATCGTGATCGCGATACTCGTATCCATTATTATCACCCTTCTGAGAGAGTCCCAGACTCTGTTTAATGAATTTGCGACAGTCGGCAAGTAGAATCTGCAAAGCCGCATAGTCAAATCTTTGAGGTAAGGAGTATTGATCGAGGAGGTCGTCGATGATGAACATCCAGACCTGAAAGGATGTAAGGGCTGTCATAGTATCACAAGTTGCGAAGGGATACCAGCCCGCTAGCTGGTCGGCCAATTTGGCTTTGGTAAGGCGAGCTCGGACGGATTCGTTTATGGCGTGACTGGTAGTTGAGTTAATCAGGCTTTGAGATGCTCTTCGTGGATCTTCTTACTTCTCTATGATACTCGTAACTTTGCTCTCCACCGTGTTGGCGTGTGGATTCATTTCTTTGGTCCAATGCTCCATCATCTTTCCAAGGTCTGGTATACGTATTCGCTGGCCATGAAGTTGAGCAAGTATCGACGGGCGGGTTTGTTGACTCTTCTGTGAGGCTCCCGAGCTCAACGGCTGGATCAATGACGTGACAGCCGATTGACGGATTATCTGAGCCATGGTTTATGAGGTATGATACGTCGTGAAGAAAGATGTTTGAATGGTGACAGCAAATGATGTTGCAGCTGGTGAACAAGTCAAGCGACGGTAATTATGTAAATTGCACACCGCCTGTGCTACTTATTTAGGAAGCAAACAAGGTAATCTGGAAGTATTGGAACAAACCCTTGGTTAGGATTTCTCCTCAAGCGGTCCGTCTCGCACGCATTAATCTCCGTAAGAGGAAGTACTTCAGCTTTGTAGTCTACAGTGAAATTTTCAGCGACGCGAAAGCGAGGTAGCTCGCTAACACGACTGCAACTTTGGCAAAAAGCAACCTGATGCGGAATGTCTGTCGCCAATCTCCGCAAGTCACCACCTCTCAATTCAGGTTGAGAGTTACCTTAGGTCTGGTTCGCGTCACATGTACTTGCAGTCTCCGGAAACATGGCCCATGATTAGTGTTGGCCGGGGGTTGGTTTATGTTGTTTTAGAGTTATTAGTGCAACCCTCGCACGCATGCTTTTGCACCATGGTTAACACCATAATCAGCGAACCAATACAATTGTATCCCACGGCAGCTGTAAGTGAACTTAAGAAAGCTGGGTAGTTTGTATCCATTGATGGGGCTAATAAGCCGCCCCGGGTGCCGAGATTGGTGGGCTTGCGGACACTTGACATTCAGATGAGACACTAATTAAATCGGCGCACTGAAACTCGCCATCTATGCAAGTGGCTAACGAAAAGTTCGGAAAATACCCATGAGCCCTTTGCGGGATACACGTCGATGACTTGGGATGAGACATTCCGACGCGCTCGGACAATTGCGAGGCTGTCAAAGCCGTGCCACCCAAAGCTTGTGTCAAGGAATCGCCTCCCGCAGTTCAGATGAATTATGTCAAAGTTATCTGATGACATTACCACGGAAGACTCCGTGCAGGGCTACTGTGAAGTCAACATGTAACCCTAACAGCACAGCCGGATCAGGGGCTGAGCTGTGTCCGGGCGAAATTAGTCTATTCGACCAGGTTTCACCTAGGCGTATACATTCTATGAGTATCTGAGCTCAAGGGGCTGATCAGCAACGTGTGAATTTCACTCCGCAAACTAGATCTCCTTGCGTGACCCAGGTTGGCGTACAGAAATCAGAGTTGTGAGAGTGTCCTGTCGTTAGCTTGACACGTCCTACAATTTCGCCAAACTGCCTTCACAGTGAGTTACCAGTTTACCAAAAGAAAGGCGTCATACGAGCATGTTTACTGGTACTATTCCACAGTAAGGGAATTTAGTTCGAAGGCACTATAGGCGCACTCATTTCACGTCATCCCTCTGAAGCTCACACAGCATTGTTTGGATCTGCTGACAATAACGGGATTCTTTCATAATACCTCACTCAGAATGATGGTTTCGCCGAACGTACAAGCAAAGTTTGTTCCGGAACGGTGTGGTGACGTAAATGACATATTTCCAGCCTCGCACTGACAATAGTGCAAAGCCCTTTGGGTAGGAAAGAAAACGCACCACACCATCACACGCAAGTGGTAATTAATGGTTTGAAATTCCGCAACTTGGGTCGATCAGGACTCTTCACATCATCAGAAGACTGGAAGTTATTTTCCGAACGTGCACCTCATGCATACTAAAACGAAAGCGATGGTGATAAAGAAATCGACGGACAAGTCATCATCTACAGACAGATGACCTTGTTGACAGCAGAAGCACACACAGGGAAGGACGTGAAGGTTACTTATCCTGCTTACATTTAATATATATGAAGAAATTGTAGCCATCACTCTGAATAAAGTTCCGGTCGTCTTGCAGGCCAGGAAACTGATCTCTGGGCCCGAACAACTCGCATTGAGTCGATCAAGCCAAAACAAACGTATCACTGGCCATGCTGCGTCCATTTGCGGGGCGCACCTGTCCCTTGCACAGCTTGAAGGCCTTCGCTCACGAACTGTGCTAGTCGCGACACAAACGGCTCTCTCTGAGTGAATTCCATCAGCAAATGATCGAAGATTCAAAATTGAAAAGGAAAGTCTGAGATGAGCCCAGACGCACACTTACCATCAACGAAAAGTGATGCGCTCCCTCAACTCTGTGACATATGATATCTGCCCCTGGCAACAGCTTCACCCACTCGTTCGGCCCAAAATCCTTCCTCTGCACTGTCAAGAACTTCATTCCCTCTGTATCATCCGTATGTGGAGATAGCGGCGGCGCCCCCGGCCGGTCAACAAGGCTCTCCCCTGCCCAGATCACGTCTACTCTCAGTTCTTGTCCCAGTGGTACTACCAATGGCGTAGCGCAGTATCTCTCCAGCACTCCGATTGTCCCTTCGAAGTGTGGTATCAACCACGCTGGCAAGTCACTGTTGCCTTTACCCTCACCCCAGCCGCCAAAAACACCCAATCGCTCACAATACTCATAAAAATGCCTCGGCAGCCTATCCATCCCGTTGTGAGGCGGCGGCGCGTCGATCAGCACCAGCTTCGCGACCCTGCAACCTCTCTCGCCTAACATTTGTGCGGCCCGAAACGCGAGCGACCCGCCTGCAGACCAGCCTCCGAGCACATATCCTTTCTGAGGTGACGGCGGCTGCCGCCTCAATATCTCAGGTAGGTAGCCCTCGCCTAAGAGCCGGTCGAGCGGCGCGCACGCCATCGTGGCCGTGTCGCCACGTAGGAACGGGCACATTAGGCCGACGACGCAGACGCCAACACCAACGGGCGGAAGAGAAGCGTACGATGTAGCGCTGCCGGAGCCGTCAGGAAAAAGGAAGAGAAATGTGTGGGCGGTCTTTGGGAAGCCTTGGAGGATAATAGACTTGCACGGAGGAATAGCGATGGTGGATGATTTGTCCTGTTTCTGAACGTCGGGGATGGTAAGGGACGTGTCGAAGCTACGTGGTGTCGCACTACAAGAAGTCGCCATCGCCGGCGAGTCACCCCCGTACAACCACTGTTGGTTCTGTTGTGGAGATACAGACGGCCCTTTCCTGCTCATATCATCTGGTGACACCGGGCTTGTAGGGAAGATCCCCTGGCCCGCCCCATCAGCGGGCTTTGTCTGTATTCTGAGCGTCTTCTGCGGCTTCGGCGTCTGGGGCGGACTACACGGCACGGCTGTTTGCAGCACCCTTGAGGACGTTGTGGCCATTTTCTCAGCTATTTTGGTCTCTTGGCTCAACATATTGCTGAACACACGCCGGGGGAAAGCGTTCACGGAATACTGTAGGAAAGCCGCCACGATGTTGTTCTCGCGAAGGACGATGATGTCACCCGTCCACTTCCGTGTCCGGCCAACTTGTTGCATGCGCACATACACCGTATATTCAAGCCCCATGTCGATTGTCTCGAACAGGAGCATATCCTCCCAACCGTGGTTGATGTAAACGGTGTGCTCTAGATCGGTTGCGTCGTCAAGGTTGAGACAGAACCCAGCTGGCTGCGTAAAGGCATCGATAATCGCTGGGTGCGCAGTGTAGTCGCCATGACCAGAAAGATCGCCGGGGAAACGGACGAGGGCAGCGATCTCATGTGTGTGCTGGTCGAGCACCAGGGATTGAACGAGTCGGTGATTGCGGTGAAACTCGGCTAGAGAGGAGACCACCCTATACGCCATGCTGCCGGAGATATGAGTGGTGCCGGGCCGGGAACGCAGAGAGGACACATTGATACGATGAGATTCGCCGGAAGAGTATTGTTGGAAAAGGGATAGAATGGAGTCGTCGGTGATACGAATGGTGCATTCGGCGTGCTGTTGGGGCTTGCCAGAGCGCTGTCATCAATTTCGTCAGACTATGTTTCATGACTCTGTGAGGAGCTTAGGCAGGAACACTCACGCTCACAACGGCGAATTTGCACCGAGCAGTACGAACAGTCCAGTCAGCGTGTGCATGGCATTGTAGCAGCTGCGACCCCGGACCGTTGTTGCCAGCAACTAACGCCTTGCTGACACTCAAGTCAGCAATAGTGACGAGATATTTATGCGTTTGGGCGAGCTGCTTATGAACTCCGAGCGCATGTTTCCTTTCGTGGTTCTTCAGTATCTCAACAAGGTAATTTCCAAGCGTCATGGCAATATCCGCGAAGACGGACTACCATTTGTCTACGTCAGCGCCGTTTGCGATCAACTCAGAACCATTAATGAAAACTCACCGGCGTACATAGCCGCTTTCCCTCTACCAAATGCCCCTGAACTGCCTCCCTCAGATCCGGTCTCGCCAGATCTGCCTCCGTTACCAGATATAGCCCGTCTCCCACCATCAAGTCTGCCTCTGTTATGACACGGTGAATTGTCGTACTCTCCAGGCCGTGATCTTTTACCTTGCGCGGTTTTCGTGTTCCCTTCTGCGCCTGGCTCAAGGCTGTGTTGAGAGACTGTCCCGCGGACGACGCGATTGAGATAACCTCCGGCAACCCAGTCCCACTCTCACTCGTCTCGGCGTGCTCGCAAAACCGCTGTAGCACGAGGTCCCAGCGAAGCGGACGTAGAAGCATGTCATCGACAGCGGTGCGCATAAGTGTGACGAAGTCAACGGCCTCTTCTGGGGCCTCGCCTGTTGAGGCCGAGATCACCGTCAGACATGCGGGCGTCGTCGCCACTGCTGGGTCCAGGAACGCCAGCAACCTAGCAACATCCTTCTTCGTGTGGAGCAATGAGCTATGAAACGGCCCGAATATCGGTATCGGCAATATCCTCACGCCGGGAACCGCTAGCCCGTCCGAGTCCGCCAGCTCCGCTAGCACCTCCGGCGGCCCCGACACCGTTACCGAGCTCGGCCCCCATGCGCTCACCCAGTATGACCCTTTTCTTGCCTCGCGTTTCCTATTGTCAACCTTTTGCAACCAGCTGCTGGCAGTGTTCCCAACTTTGCCCGCGAGCCGCTGCAGGAAGACTCGCAGCCCCTGAAACGTGCGCTCGTCCGCGGCCGACACCGCCATGCTCCAAGGCTGCTTCGTGCCTGTCACTGGTGCGGTATCCCGTGCCTTCCGATCCACGACCAGACCCACCCGGAAGGCAACCCGGACAGCCTCTATACCCAGCGGGACCAGCTCCGCTAAGCCGGCACTGCACCCCACCGCCGCAGCAGCCAGTGCCCCGGTGCAAGTGCCTATGACAGTAGCGTTCCCGTAGTGCTCCGCTGATGGGGAAGATTCGACATGTCGAATGAATAGCAGCACCTGATATGCGACAAGCAACGCCATATCCAGCGCTAAGCAGCGGTGGGCATCGTCGCGGTCGGAGTAGTGCGGGTGGGAGTAGCCAATGTTACGGTAATGCCACTGCAGGAGCATGTCGGCTAGGGTGCCGGAAGGGCAGAGGTGTTTGACCTTCATGGGGTTGACGAACTGGGCCAGATCGCGCTGGATTTCACTCCCGCAGCGATGAATGAAGAGGGAGAAGGGCGATGAGGGATCAGGGAAGGTCTGTTGGAAGGCCTCATCGTCTAGCAAGCGCTTGAGATCGCGTTTGGGGGTGCTGTAAGCTTGGTCGCCGAAGAGGAAGATTTTCTCCAAGGGTTTGGCATTAGGGGGTGATAGGGCCATAGTGAGATGATGCTGGAATCTTTCTGCCAAGGTGTAGTGACGACTGTCTGTTGATTGAATGAGATTCTGGATTTTAACTCCTGCCACAAATTGGTCTAGAGACCTAGACTGGCTTTCGATGAGATATTCTACGAATCCTTTGTATTGTGACAGTGACGGATCAGCACTTACAGCCTTGCGGAGGCAAGATACCATGGTGAGGCAGCCCATCCGAGAGAGGCTACCCCACAAGTTGCCTCATGGTATTGCCCAGGTTTGAGTGCACAGATCGACTTTTTTTCTTCAACATCTCCTTCTGTGCCGCACTCATGCCCCCCTGTGTCAGCGTTGAAAATTTAAGTTTTAAGCCGTACGCAGGGATGCAAATGCTGTTAACTCACGTTGACACTCCCGATTGTACTCACTGGGTCTGTATCAGGTCTGTGTGTCCCCAGATGACCCAACGCAGCTGCTGCTTGGCCATTTGCTGTAGATCTTAAACCACATGTACTAACCGTGACGTGGTAGTTTGGTGACATCTGTTCTAAGTATAATTTGAACGCTTTCCAGAGCATCCTGCGTTATGCTTTACCTCAAGTTGGGCTTCTATATAAACTCTTGTGACACACCTCCCTAGTATGAGGCTTTTTTCAGCCCGGATCCAGGAAGTCACTACTTAAAAATATAGCAACCGAGAAAGAATCATGTGAGACTGAATTAACAATTCTTTTATAGGCGGGTTGCTAATCCTCCATATGGTATCCCAATTTCATGAATGATGCGAAGTAGCTTATCATCAAAAATATTTTTTCTGTAATTTATCGAGTAGGTCAAGTTCGATAGGTTCAGCAGCAGCAGTAACTACTAGCGTCAACGCTCTCAGTGTGGAAACCATTCTTGGTATGATTCTTTCGTTGCTATGGTCTACTCCGATGGGAGCCTCCGCAACATCCGCCACAACATGTCAAATGCCAGACACGAGCTTCGCACGGGTGGTTTTGGTCTGAATGGTGGGTTTCCACGGATAGAAATAGGCTCCAAACTATCCATTCCACGGGGAGGCGAGTTTAAACTGGCAACCCTCAGTTTATTGACTTTCGCATTAGTTGTTTCACTCAACTGAGACACGGATCAGCCGTTTTAGTACGACTTGTCTCCGTCGGCGTCGCTGCGCATGCCTTCTTCCTGCATAAGCAGCGGTCGCACACAACTGATCGCTACTACTTCAAATTTGCGAATGTTAGTCGAAAGACTAGGAAATTTGCATCGGACGACACCGCGAACTGCCGAACGCCGTCGGTGCGTCCGTCCCGCCGGGTCTGGGTGCGTGCACGTTGGTTAAGGTTGGTCTCAAATACGCATGGCTTTCTTGTTGCGGACTGGGCGATCCAATTGAGATCTCCGATGTGTAGGCGTTGATTAGTCGACAGGTGAACTGATGTGCCGTGCCTCTCTCGCCAGATCACCAAAGGGCCGAAGCATAATGAACTATGTCAATGTCAGACTACCTTGTCAGATAACACGGGAAGGTCGGAGGGAGGTGAGAGGCCGTCTACGGAGATTCTTTGGGGAAATACGCGAGCGAGATGCTGTCGCCAAGCACACAGGCCGGCGATGTGCCAGCTCGCATTCAAGACATACCAAGAACCGCAACATGGGCGCCAGCCTTGCAGGGAATTTGCAATGCTTTGAAGCCGAGAGAGCTGGGAAGTTAGACACGAGGCTTTCTCCATGCCTGCTTCTTCAAAGTAATGTGACTAGCTTCGATCGGCCACACGACCAGGGAGTGAACAGTATGCAGGATCCGGCAGCAACGGCCCCAATTTCTTGGTCACGCTATTTAGGTAGCTGCCAGCCTTTTCGTGGAAACATGCTTCCGGTGACCGCCAAAGGACATCGTGCTGACTTTCAGTAGCAAAAGTATATAGATGCGGCAGAGGCGGCAGCAATCAAGGGGAATTTCGTCTTGTCGGTTCAAGTTAGACTTCGCTTAACTTGACGCCAGGCATTGTAGTCAGAGTCACTCAGGTCAGGCAAGTTTGCCTTGATCGATATTCGACTCCGAGCCGGATCTCAATCACTTGCAGAGCCGGTAACGTAGTCTTGGCCTTTACAAAATACCACCTTGTCATCTAATAGCTACATGTGTTGCATTAATATTTTTCTTGGGTTGTTAGTGTCTATACACAACATTTTTATCGTCTGACCAGACTCAGTCTATCTCCGCTATGACGAACCAAACGACTTCAATTCAGAATCCGTACTAAACGTTGAGTATTGAAATGACAACAACACGGTACAAATTTGGATGTTGCCCATGGAGCCTGACATCACGTGTGTGTGACTGTGTGTACTTTGTGCTGGACTAGATCACACATGTTGCCCACGCCAACACGGAACGATTACTCCCCTGACCATCCTTCTCTTCTCATCACGCCCCTCGTCCATTTTTCCAGCTCTTTTGGAAGCCCCACATCCTTTGCTGCGCCACTCTGCCATCTAGGCTCTCCGAATCGCCGGAATATTTCCAAGTAGCCACCGGCTTGTTCAGCTTCCATTTCCTCGCTTGCTGCGCAGAAGACGCTATTCCAAGAACCTTTATCAGCTGACCGTACGAAGCCAAGCACTCGAAAGAATAAGAGAACAATCATTATGATCGACCGTGGGCGGCGAAATTCGGACTCTGCAACCTCCTCGTGGTGCCGCCTGGGAACCTATCTTTTCTAAAGGTAGAGCCAGTGCAGAGACGTTACGGCGCGCAAGTGCAAGTGGTGGCGGGCGCTGCGCACGAAGTTTTTCTGGTGCGGCGGAAGGGCGGGATCGGACCAGAAGTGAGGGATTTTGGCGTCGCACAAAAATTTTCACACGCGCCACCAACCACCAAAACACCAGCAAAACCGACAGATATCGAGAGACCGAAAACCGAAATGCGAACGCGAAGCTGCCCAATTTCGAGGGAACTAGGTAAAAACCACCCGACACTGCTTCTCGGGGCAGAGACAGGGCACCCTCACGCCTCCCAGATCTGGGAAATACCTCCAGACAGACAGACACTGAGGCGGGTTAGTCATGGGATAGATGGAGGCTACGCCGGCTGGGTAGCCCTCAGGACAGCCTAGGGCAAGACATGGTCGGCCTGCCGAAAACCAGCTGTGAGGCTGGAAGCACGGTCGGAGACGGCGGCGGGTAACGGGAAGCTGGCCCGGGGGGTTGTGCCCTCGGACAACCAGTGGGCCGTAGCAAACACATTCGAGCAGCAGGCTACAGAAAGGAAACAACCCCGACTCGCACTCGGGCTGCTGGAGGAAGGAGGGTGTTGAAGAATTGCCCCTAGGGGGACCGGTCGGATATGGTATCGCCTTAGGGCCCGGCCTCCGGGCCCGGCCCTCACTCGGATCGTACCCGGGGTATCACGGCATAACGGGAGGAACGCTTGGGTCACCGCTCGCGCCGGGATGGCGCCGCGCGCTTTGGAAGCTGGTAGGGTGTCGCTATTGTGGACTGGACGTAGGGGAGGACCTGAGAAGGGGTGTGTTTGGCTCGAGAGGACGGACGCGCATGTCGGTAGGCTTAGAGAGGGATATGCCCTTGCGGCCTGCTTAAGGTGCAAACTTCTATTTGGGTGGCTAAGGACTGGGCGGTGGCGAGCCGGTGGTCTGGACGCCCGCTAAAGGGGCTGGCTACCCCTTTGACTATTAGGACCCCTAGGTACTGAGAGGGCTCCAGTAGACTCTCTCTCCCTGTTTTGGGGAAAAGGTTAGGGATTGCGGACTGTAGGAAATAGAAGCCTAGCTAGCCAGGCCTGCTCCCTAGGCAGCACACAGCAAGCAGAGGCCAGGCTGGGCACTACATCTAAGCGCCCTCGACCCCTCACACCTACACAAGACTCAATTGTTGTTGCAGATACTGCTAGCATAGCTGGAAGCAGCAATAGTATGGATGAGGATGAGGCTGAAGACTCTGAAGCCCTCCCCCTTACCAACCGCCCTATCTGCCCGCTTCCAAGCAGTAGCAGAAGCCAGAGGGTAATACAGAAGCCTGACTACAACGTTATTAATGCCTATACCCACCTCGATCTCGACTCAGAGCCGTAGGCTCAAAATGGCTACCCCACGGGTACTACGGGTCGCCCAGTGTAACGTGGGGAAGATCAGCCCAGCTCATACAGCTCTCCTAGAGCTCTGCTGGGCAGATCAGATCGATATAGTACTGATCCAGGAGCCCTGGATAGGCTATAGAGATAAGATGCAAATCAACACACACCCAGGCTATAACTCTTACGTACCAGTTGACTTCTGGAACAGCAGGGACACAAGGCCTAGGGTTATGACCTACACACACAAAAGTCTAAGGTTACAAATACAGCAGCAAAGACCTACCCTATCAAGGGATATCCTATGGATCAAAGCGGGCGACATTACTATTGCAAACGTCTATAGACCACCAGGTGAACCCACAAACCACACAACAAATACCCTCCTAAGCTATCAACCGCCGGAGAGAGCCCTTATTGCTGGGGATCTCAATGCTCGCCACTCCTCCTGGGAACCTGGCTCCCAAAGCCGGAACCGAGGGGACGATATTGCAGAGTGGGCTGAAGGCTGTAATCTTAACTTTATTGGGGTAGCTGGGGCTCCAACCCATACCCATGGGCATATACTCGACCTCAGCTTCTCAAATATCCCCTTTACAGAGGCCTGCATCAGCCCACACCTACATCCAGGGGCTGATCACCAAGCTATTATAACGACCATACCTATAAGCAAAACCCAGGACTTGAGGTGTCAGACTAGCCACCCTGTGGTCTCAGACTCATCCCTACTCCGGCTAGCCGACCTAGTGAAAGTAGGGATCCTAGCCCTGCCTACCTTAGGGGATACACCTACTTCAGCAGAAATAGACTCCCTAGCTACCCAACTAGTCAGCCTCCTCTCTACAGCTATCCAGGCTGTAGGGAAGAGACGGACTAACCAGGGCAGGGGAGCCCCCTGGTGGACAGAGGAGTGCTCAGAGGCCCACCAAGCAGCTATTGAGGCTAGGCGTCAGCAAGCCCAAGAACCTGGGCTAATAATACCACCGCCCATCCTAGAGGAGCAGAAGGCCTTTCTGACCACAGTCAGGAAGGCAAAACGCGCCTATTGGGCTGCTAAGATTGAGGAGGCTGGGTCTAACCAGAACTTATATCAGATACTTAGCTGGCGTAAGTCTGGTCTAGCTGTTAAAGCCCCACCTCTATTGGTAGATGGACAGGCTTTTAACAACAGCTATGATAAAGCCCAAGCCTTACGGAAGGCCCTACTAGAGAGATTTGACGCTACAGACGACTTCCATGGGAACCCATTTGCTATTCCTATAGTTCCAAGGCGTCTAATACCCTGGCAGCAGATAGTCAACATTGAGGAAGTACGCCAGGCAACTCTCACAAAGGCTACAACCCCTGGGATTGATGGGATTACTACAAAGTTACTACAATCCATTTGGGGCCTGATAGGTGTTCCTATACAGCAGCTCTTTCAGGCCTGCGTTCAGATAGGCTACTTCCCTAGGACCTTCCGCAAAGCAGAGGTAGTTATGATCCAGAAGCTGGGAAAAGCAGACCTCTCAAAGGCTGGATCCTGGCGCCCAATAGCCCTCTTATCCTGCCTAGGCAAGGGCTTAGAGCGGCTGATAGCAAAGAGGATGGCATATCTCACCATTCTGGAAGGAGTTGCTAGCCCACAGCAGGTTGGGGCATTACCAGGGAGGGCTGCAGTCGACCTGACAACCTGTCTAACCCATGAGATCGAAAGAGCTCTAGACTCAGGGCTTACTGCAACTCTAGCGACAATGGATGTCAAGGGGGCGTTTGATTCTGTCCTACGAAATCGACTTACTATTAGGCTACGACAGCAGGGCTGGCCTAGTAGTCTGATTAGACTGATCTTCAACTTCACCTCTTGCCGCACAGCCCGGGTAAGGTTAGAGGATACTACCACAGAGGACTTCCCTTTATCCTGCGGACTGCCGCAAGGCTCGCCACTATCACCTATCCTTTTTCTGCTATATATAGCCGATATCCTAGCTGACGATCAGAAGCTACGGTTTAGCTATGCAGACGATATAGGCCTGCTGGCTACTGGCCCTTCCCTGGAGGGAAACACTGCAGCCCTTAGCCAGGAGATAACTCAGATCCTAGACTGGGGCACTGATAATAAGGTTACATTTGACCCGGCTAAATGTGAAGCAATCCACTTTAGCAGGAAACACAACCAGTCAAATAACCTACCAGATATACAGGCAAGGGACCTAACTATCAAGGCCTCAACTAAGCCTGTACGATGGCTAGGGGTCTGGTTCGATAGGAAACTCACCTTCCGGCACCATGTTGATACAAAGGTAGCGGCAGCAAAGAAGGTAGCCCAGTTCCTACAGCACCTATCAAACACAAAAGGAGGGCTCCCAGCAGCTGCAGCACGCCAAGCTGTTATTGCCTGTGTCCTTCCTACAGTCCTATACGGAGCTGAGACCTGGTATGCAGGCTTAAGTAAGCCAGCTAGGAACAGCAGCACCACTGCAGTTAGCAGCAGCACCACTAACCAGGTAACTACTGTCAGTACGAGGCAGAAGGGCCTGGTTAGGAGTGTTAGAAAGGTTATCACAGCAGCAGCAAGGGCTATCCTGCCTGTCTGGAGGACTACACCAACCAGCAGCCTCCTCCGAGATGCTGGCCTGCCTACAGCAAAAGTAGCCCTTGAGGCAGCACGCCTACGCTTTGCCACACGCCTACAGAAGGTTGACCAACACAACCCCTTAGTCCCTAGGCTTCCACAGCTAGGGCGGCAGGAAACAAGGCTTCAAAGAACAGCAGCCCTCCTACCTAAGTGCCCAAGGCCGATGCTCCTACAGCCACAGCACCTCTCAGGATCAAAAGACCCTACAGCTGGCCAGGATAAGGAGAAGGCAGCTAAAGCGTTTCAGAACTGGGTTAAGACTGTGCCAGATAACCATACGATTATCTACTCAGACGGCTCTAAAGCCACTAATGGGGCTACGGGATTCGGCTTTGTTATCTACCGCGGAAACAAACGGATAGCCCAAGGGTGCGGCCGTCTCAGCATTGCAGAAGTATTTGATGGCGAGGCAGAGGGGGCGAGGGCAGGGCTCCAAAGGGCCCTTCCTACCTCCCAAGGCCAGCCTATACATATCTGTATTGATAACACCAGTGTCATCCAGGGGATACGCGGCAACATCCCAGACTCCTCACAAGCTGCCTTCTTAGAGATCCAGGCAGCAGCCAGGATATATACTATACAAACCCACTGGTCCCCAGGGCACCAAGGGATAAAAGGAAACGAGGAGGCTGACAGCTTAGCTAAGGAGGGCACAACGCTGCCAGTCCCCAGAGGCCTACTGCCGACCCTATCAGGGATCAAGCGGCTTGCTCAAGAACGCAAACAACACCAGCATAGAAAATGGTGGAAGAAAGAGGCACCCCCCTGTTATACCCAGCTGGGGCTTAAGGCCACCCTTGGCTGCCCTCCTGAACTAGCTCTACCAAGAGCTACCCTTCATCATCTCCTAGCAGCACGATCAGGCCACGGAGACTTCGAACAGTATCATCAACGCTTTAACCACACAGAAGCACTGCTTTCCTGCTCCTGCGGGGAGGCTAAAGAGGCAGACCACCTGGTCTACTGCCGTAAGACACTAGTGAGGAGGCAACGGTGGCCTATCCTCCACCCTTATAGTCGAAGGGAGCCTCTAGGACCTATAGGCTCTCTAGAGCGCTACTTTAAGGGGCTAATCACCGATTATGAAGGCTTCCAGGCCTTCCTTGACGTGACAGACTTCTTCCAGAAGATCTGCCCGCGTTACTAATAGATAGGACTTAACCTATCCTCTCAACAACAGACTACCTATAGTTATCAGGACAGCAGATTGCTATAACGGAACTAGGGCACCAGTGGGAACTAGGGACGGATAGAACACATAGTGGCCCTCGGGCAAGATCTGGAGGACGCTAGGAAGAGGCGTGTACTACACAGTAGATAGCTAGATCCTGCGGCCCTCCACGCCACATACCCTTCGGGAGGTCTGCCGCAAGGGCGGCTGCGCCCTTGCCGCCATGGCGTTAAAAAAAAAAAAAAAAAAAAAAAAAAAAAAAAAAAAAAAAAAAAAAATTATGATCGACCGTGACTCCCTCGCCGGGGCTGCGATGTTTGTTTCGACCATACCAGGGTGCACAGATGTAACCCAGATCTCGCCCTCTTCATTTCGTGCACTGCGAGAGCCGGGCCCATATCTCTCATGCAGAGACTTTGTATGCAAAATGTTGGCAAGCTTGCTCTGTCCGTATCGTGTCCAAGTATTCCCTTCTCTTAGGGATGGGTCGTTGAAGTTAATCCCGCCCTTGGGTGCTCCCAAGTGGCCCGATGAAGTAAGATTGACGATACGTACGCTGCCCGGGGCGAGATTCTTAGATGTTTGTAGCATCAAAGGAAGCATATGTTCCGTCAAGACCCAGTGAGCGAGGTAGTTGACTTGCCACTGGGCCTCGTGTCCATCCTTGGTTATCTCGAAGGGTGTGGCCATGATCCCTGCATTATTGACCAACCCATGCAGCGTTGTTTCGAGAGTGAGGAAATATTTGGTAGCTGCAACAACGGTGGCGAGGTCCGTCAAATCCATTTGCAAGAGGTCAACGTTCGCCGAGGGGCATTTTTCGTTAATCTCAGCGATTGCCCATGCACCCTTCTCTAATGACCTGACGCACATGTAGACATGAGCGCCATGTTCCGCAAGGCGAGCAACGGTGTGGTAGCCTCTTTAGTTTTGTCATTAGTTGACCGATTCTCGTGTGGGGAAAAAAAGAAAGCGACTCACATGCCAGAGTTACCCCCTGTCACTATAAATACCTTGCCCTCGAGATCGGGGAGACTGTCTGGGTGGAACGCCATCTTTGGAAGAGAAATTTCCAGCGCAGTGTAGCGTTGAAAAGTGATTATTGCAATGCTTGCGAACCAACATCCAGGCAAGCTTTTGTCAATTTGTCCTGGTTCTTATAGTTCTTGTCGTGAGTGACGAAATTGAGTGTGGAACGTTATTGCCATTCCGGCAGCACCGGGCGTTGTGAGCCACTTGCATGACTTCCAGATCAGTGATTGTATGTTCATGTCAGATTTCTTGCAATCAGATGTCGTGGGAGAACTCCCATGGGGTTTGTGAGCCACCTGCATGGAGTCAGCGGTTCAATGCCGAACTCCCCTCGACATGATAGGGCTCGGCGGGAGCACCATTCAAAGACGATGTGACTGGAGTCGTAATCCCGTTCTGCCCTAGAGTCAATGTGAGCAGGTTGCATGACGCTAGACCACTTGTGGTCCGAACTGGCAACATCGACAAATGATGTTCCATGTTTCCTAGTAGACTGTCTGCCTGCGCCTCATCCTTTGCCAAGGAGTAAGCGTAAATAAACCCGCACTTCAGTGACACCCATGAAACCCATTTATGTGAGCAGGCTGCATTGCAAGACCTTCGGGCCTCGACCAACTTACATTATTCACCAACAATCTCACTCTGACCCAGGACATTAGCTCAGGCCATGATGGACACCAATCAGGCGACAAGTTTAATGGCACCGCACATCCAACTGACTTCGATGCAACAACTAGCTGAGGTTCTTGTGACTCAATTTTTGAATATGACATGATTCGCTCATTGCTTGTAGGCGAGAACTTCAGGTGACGACTGGACTGGAACAAAGGATGCCGCAGCGCGCCGTCGGGCACAGACAAGACTTAACACGAGGGCATATCGTGAGTATCTACTAATAGTATCCTACTTTCCGTGGGAAATTCATCAACGTTAAACAAATCAGGAGGGACATTTGATCAAATTGGGCTCGTTATCGAGACTGACAGCCAGTGCAGGTAAACGCAAAGCCCTTGGGGAAAAGGTCAAAGCATCTCCAACCACAAGCTGTTCATTGATTGAGCCCGAGGCGTCTGTTGAATGTTGGGACGATCAGCAGGAGTCCGTGTGCCTCCTTCCATTGTCGCGCATCAAGCAAAGCTATGATGCGAGAAAACCCCTGCTATCCGGAAGGTCTACAGGCCGGCAGCTCAATGTTGTTTTCCCTCTCTGTCCAGACCACCTCATCACACTCCTACAGTTCAATGCCCTACGTGCACTAGCTGTTAATCGCACTCTGATCTCAGGCATCCTCGACGCGCCGCTTGAATGCGACGAGGAGCTGATTCACATTATCCCCTACCCTTACAAACCACAACTTCTCCCTAAGGCGCTCCTGCCCACCGTCCTTCAACAAAGGGTGCCACATGGCGACTGGATTGATCTTTTCCCCAGTCCCGAGGGAAGAGATCGTCTGATTCAGGCTTCTGGCACCTTTGACGAGGACGAGCTGTGGGCGGACTGCATCGGTGGTTTGTACGAGGGCTTCCCCGACGACGAGATCAAACAGCGTGGCATTATTGCCTGGTCACCACCATGGGAAATCGCCGGATGGGAGATGTCAGAAGGATTTCTGCATAAGTGGGGATGGCTTTTCAGAGGACTGCCGGGGGCGTTGCAGGCGACAAATCAGTGGCGGACGGAGCGAGGCGAGCCCCCATTGGTTTAAGATGACAGCACGAAGTGACGACGGTGCTTTCTCGTATTTCTCATCTCTCTTTAAGGTCTATATATCCCGTCTCACCAAAATTGAAAGGCCTGCTCGTTTCGTTGTGCCATTCCATTGGTACGGGACACCTGATAAAAAATATCTCTGGCAGCTTGGTTGGCCTGAACCTGTGACGCTGCCTCGATTGGGGACCAACATCTCATTAGAGCCACTGTCCTATTGAATGCCTCAAATTTCTGTTGCTTCATTTCTCATGCCTGAAGGCTAAACTCAGCGGAAGCGCTCAGAAGGGGTTTCATTTCTCTCCAAAATATTACAAAATATCTCATTGGCACCTTAGAAGTCAAGTATGACTTCCAAAGTAGATAAACATTGGTGACCACGCCATCCGCGAACTAGGCAGCTGGGGCTTGGACCACGGCCAGTGTAACCTCGTAGCAGGGACGGTCTTCACGGACGGCTTGATGAATTGTTAGCCAGCTTGCTTGTGTGGAACTCGAGAAATACTCACCAGTATTGCCGGGGGGGGAGTAGCGGAACTCGTGTCTGTCGCCGGACGCACTTCTCACACAAATGAAGCCATCTGGAAGGGCAGCCCTTGATATAAAGTCCAACTCAAGCTGCACCGCATCCGTATCGGGGTTGCAACCATAGACAGGCTGAAAGTAAGCCTTGGGGTCGCCGCGTTCCGTCATAAACAACTTGGTGGTGTTGTCATCCGCAGTGTACTGTGACATCTTGATTAGCCTTCAATATTGAGGCAACATGCGACGAACTTACCTCTCCATTTATGACGGCATGAATAATGCCGCGAGAAATGACACCGCTGTCAAGGGTAAGGTTGAACGCTGCATCTCCAGCGGGACTAAGATAGAGGTGCTGGTCGCCTCCACCCGCCGACCAAAGGTTCATATAGCGGTTGTGAACAATGGGTGCAGCGGGATTCTGGACCTGAATGCCGAAGCCAGTGGTAATGTTGTTGGATACAGGATCCGTCGGCAGGGTGCACGCCGAGACGCCGACTGCAGCTGCCAGAAGCTTGAGCATCAAAGAAGAAACCATTTTGTAAGAGGCCGGTGCACTTTCAAAGGACAGAGCGCATGCATCACTCAACGTTGATACCACGGGGGCTTTTTAAAGTTGATATACAAAACATCGAGCTATCGTGTCACAACTCTGCACGCCAAGACATTGACGAATACGAGATATTGTTCGCACTCGTTGCATCGCGTGGCTGCGAGTCTCTTCTTCCTGGGGTCTAGATTGGCTTTGAAATCGATAAACACGCACAGTTCCTGCGTGATGGACGCGGGATACTTGCCCATGGTCTCATAGCTGGAAGTCACTGGTGCTTACAAGCTGTAGTACCCCTGAAAATCTACCCTGTCAATGTTACCCTCGGCGCTTGATATCGGTTTCCGCCTTCCGCATTGAGGGCTAGTGGTACTGCGTGTAAGACTGGCGGCCTGCAGCCTTTGCGGAGTAACCAACGGTCCATCCCTCTCTACGTATGCAAGGTCCCATTTGTATGCAACATTTATTGGGTGACAGCCTTTCGGCCGCGTTCTCTCGGATTTAATGACCTTGGCTGGATGACTACCGCCTATGCAGCTAATGCTAATAAGTATGCGTCGGTTTGGCTTTCCACGTGTATTGGCCCCAACATAAGTGTATAACTCACAGGGCGGTCAAACTCGAACTGGCTCAAAGCAGCTAGATCTATTGTTCCAATAGCTTTTCACGAAATCAAGAAATCGAGTGGGAATTTGGTCTCATATACAGGGAAAGTTCACCCAAAAAGGTTCTTATGTCTGTTGCCATAAGGGTTTCTTCGTCTTTATGAACACATCAACTGGCATTTCCTCCCTCGTCCTCATTCGAAACACTACACATCGATTTTATCCCAATGTATCATCCGTCGACAAGCGACTCGAGTCAACTTCTGACTCCCGACGGCGTTTAGGAAATTCTCCGCCAATTCTTAATCCACGCAAGCACCGCCAAGATGGGCTGATGCAAGGCCGTCATTTCCACTCAGAATACGAACAGGGGTCGTCTAGACACAGCCTACAGCCGGGTTCTCACTTGGTTTGATCCATTGAATCTATTGTATGAGAATGAATCATAGATGAAGTTTACTCTTGCTGATGTGTGCCCCTGGTGTGGAGGAAGATGGTTCGCCTTTCCTGTGGATGGCTGTTTAGTTACGCTTCGCCATTGTGGTGCAGTTCCGGCGACCAGAGACACAGACCCCGTTGTTGAGACTTCGAAACCAATGTTCTAGCGCAGCAAGTGTTTGCGAGAACAAGCTAGCATTCCGTAATTAGTCCGCATATCTCTATCTGGCTAAAGCTATATACGCGGTCCAAATAATTTCCCAGGCAAGCTTGCCAGTCAGAGCAACCTCGCTTTGAACAGAGATATGCGTAATATCAGGATACTCTGAAGCTCCATGCTCAGTTTTTATTTGAACAGCAAGGGCAGTTTTAAGAATCGATCAAAAACATACCTGGGAGCCGAGCCGCAGCAAATTCAACGCCCCGTCCTGCAGGTGGGGCTGTGCATTCAAGGCAGTTAGAGTTGCTCAGCCTCCCACATACACTGATGGGTATGATGGGGCTGTGATGTGTCAATTGAGCCCTACTGTTCAACAGGACTAGCCACATCAAGGGCCTTGGAAGTTCCTCTTGTCATTGTATCTGGGGCCTCATGATCCTTGCACCGGAAAGCCCATGTCCAGCTGCCTAGTGGTCCAAGCTGCACTACGGAGCTAAAACTCATTTCAACTCGTCTGTCTACCAAGCGCTCGTATTGTTTGGCCAATCAGGTGTCTAGACGATAACGAATACGTTGACCTCTACACAACTCCTATTGTCAACAAGCGGAATTCTCCGAACGGCATCCAGATGAGAGCTTGTAGGCTGATGTCAAACTTCGGTTATCTGATGCGGGCAAATTCTCAATTGCTATTTAACTTGAAGTGTTTCCTGATGTTAATGCAGTTGCTGTTTCATCCGCCATTCGTTTTGCAAGTCATACCACTCGTTCCATCAATCTAGCGTTCCATCAATCTAGTCATTCCATATGTTGCAATCAGTCGCTATTATTCTGCTATACGCCGCTACTGCGCGTGCCCAAGTCAAGATTCCGGATGAAAATCCCATTGTACGAATCGACCTCAACGCCACCGCGGATCTGGAGCCCGACTCATCTGCAACTATCAACGTTGATGATGCTGTGGACGGAACTCTGGAGGCAACTGCTTGGTCTTTGATCGTAAGACACAACAAGCCTCTAACATGTGGGCTTAGCTAACGCATCAATGAGTTCACTGCCGCCCCGGTTTCCCAGACTGCCATTCTCGGGATCCTTTCGCAATCATCACCAGCCAATCAGTACTTGCACACGCGAGAGTTTCCAACCCCTGAGACGAACTCTATCGTGGCAGTCAATGTCGATGTTCTTTACTCGTTTGGGGTGCTCGATCTATCTGAAGCAGACGTCCTTCTGGGTGTACCCGAATTTGATGACCGTTACTGGAGCTATCTCATCTGGGACTTGTAAGTCTGCTGGGAAGGTTTGGTTTCCTGAATCGGGTGGTTACTAACTGGTTCACTTCAGCTATGGAAACGCAATCGCAGAAATAAGCAATGTAAATGGAAACACCGCCGGAACTTATCGTCTCAAGCGCGACGCCGTAAGTGAAGTAGGCCTTGCGAATGGTAACCTTATCAGTATTTCGACCGCATACGCCTCTGTCGCTATCCGCATTGGCATCAATTCCAACACGACGGAAGAATTAGACCGGCTCCATTCACTTCAAGACGCCTCCACGGTCGGGACGACTGATCTCTCGGCGGAGACCACTGTGCCGTCTTTTGCAAGACTTATCACACCTAACATCACCAATTCCCAGAGTGTGCTTCAGTTTACCGCCAGCTTGTTGCCTTACAACCCTCCCCAGACTTTCTCAGACCGAGAACGTGTGAACACCATTCTCGCACAAGCAGGCATTGGAAACGGAACTTATACTGCCAACCCAGACGTCGATATTTTAAACGCTGCGTCCATCGCACGCTACTCCATCGAAGCGGACTTGGCCGACCCAGCGCACATCGTACAGCTGGGTAATAACTAGACGGTACCCATTCCCTCCTACCAGGACAATTACAGAACATGCTGCACAAGCTGCCTCTGGTATTGGGTATCTCCAGACCCAGAAGCTTGCACTCCTGCCTAATCACCCGATGCTTAGCGGAACCATTTATTTCTCCACTCAGTCCATGATTATCACCTTCTTTGGAAAGCCAGGCGTGACGAGTCCGGGCTTTTGGAACATTGGCTCTTACGATGCGTTGCTCAGACTTGTACCGAATGGCATCAGTCGGTACAGCATCGGATCCAAGACTTCGACTTTGCAGTACCTTGAAGGTGGTCAGGTATATGGGCCGACTGCGGCTGGCGGCCAAGATGATACATTTCAAGTTCTCTTGCAGAGTGCTGACATTCCACCCCCGGCCAATTGGACTCGAAATTGGTTACCTGTTGCTAACAAGGCATCTCTCACTGGTAAGACTTCATATCCCATCGATTGTGATTCCTTGTTTGGCCATATTCTAGTCCGCATGTACTGGCCCGAAATTTCATTGACTGATGGATCTTACGTCTGGCCTGAGATTGAAAGCCTGAATCCTATCATGGCTTGACCCTCAGACCTTGTTCGAGGTCTTACCTGTTTTACGGGAAATGCTACATGAACATCACCTAGATGAAGCCCTAGGTTCACTGGGATCGACGTCAGCTGTGTTTCTTTTCGTTCCTTTACCCGCTGTAGTTGAGGCCTGCATGGGACTTGATTATTAAAATCAAGACTGATGTCACTTCAAACACGTTTCGTCGCAAACGACATTTTCAATATCTCAACCTAGGGTAGACAAGCCGGCCGATGCTTCCTGCCAAGAAGTCGCGGTGTCGTTGAGACGTTGCCTGTTTTCTATGTAGTACAAATGGCCATGAGCCCAGACATTCGCAGTCTTTCTCCAGTACTCGAGGCGTGAAACTTGATATCCACAACCAGTGTCCAGCTATTTGGCCCAACACAACTAGCAACACATTCTGCGGACCTAGAGTAGTAATACACCCCTTCTCAGCAAATTCGTCCTTGATCAAGGCCCCAGCTATCATTGGGATATTGAATACAACACTACGTGACGGCTTGGCGTGTTCACCAAGGGCAGCTGAAGCAAGGGTACCGCAGGGTCCTCGACACTCATATTTAGATCTGACAATGGAACGCATCCGTAATGTTTCGACGCCAGAACGTCACATTGACCCAAAGTTCGGGGCAAGAAACAAAACGACGTGCGATGCGACGCTGGGTGTAATTTTAGTCTGTTGGTTTCAACTACCTGGAGGACCCCGTTGCCAAGGATGGTCATGCCGGGGCATGGGTGCAATGTGGGCCGGGAAGCTCGCCGAAATGATGCAGCACGTGGGTGACTAGGTCTGCGATGGATCTCATTCAAACGAAACATTTCATTGAACGGTTAAAAGCCTCAAAATCGGTTCCTTCACAGTCATTCTGGGCCAGATACGTGCTTGGCAGTGCATTGGGACTTCTACCATGAGACCAGGTGGTGTCCAAAACAGACGTGTGTTCGCAGTTGTCACAAAATCTACACATTGGCAAAACATCGAAACCTCGTTTTCAAGACAATCATGATGTGGTATCATTCGTACCATACTCGGTACTTCTCATTCCATTCGCTAAAATCACTTCCGCTTGCTTATGCTAGATAACTTTTCCTGGGGTGACCTGCACAAACCCCAACCCATAGATTACTTCATTATGTACGGTTATGCAGAATCCTCAAGAGGCTTCTGGTCGACGTGGTCGGCCTTGTCGTTGGGCTTCTCGCTCTCGAACTCCTGGGGCATCGCGACAGGGCGGTTCTTGGCGAAGCGAACGGTGGCGAAGACGGAAGGAGACTCGCGGAAGAGGAGGTCGATCTCCTCCAAGTTGCGGCCCATGGTCTCGGGGTACAAGAAGTAAACGGAGACGGGGATACAAGCAGAGATGACAGCATAAACGATGTAGTACTGGTAGCCGATGGTGTTGAGGGCGACAGGGGTAACCATGACGACGATGAAGTTCCTGAGACAACGCGTTAGTTGATGGATCTTTTGTGATCAATTTGAGTCGGGTGCGACTTACCAGAGCCAGTGGTTGGCGGTTGAGATGGATGACATGGCCATGCGGAGACGGATGGGAGCAACCTCAGTGCAGTACAGGAAGTTGGCACCCAAGAAACCGATAGGCACGAAAGTGTTGAACAGGTAGATGAAGCAGCCGGCGGCAATCTGAGCGGTGGTGTTGTCCTTGGGGAAAGAAGTGGTGATGGCCAGAGACATCATGCAGAGCGCCATACCAACACCGCTGAGAATGAAGACGACACGGCGACCGAAGCGATCGATGGTGAAGAAGGCAACGAAGGAAGACAGGAACTTCCAGGTGAGGGCACCACCAGCCAAAGCGCGCGAAGCCTCGCTCTTCATGCCAAGGTTCTGCTGGAACAGAATAGGCGCGTAGACGGAGACCAAGTTGGAACCAGACATCTGCTGATAGAACTGCAGGAGGATGCAGAGACCGAAGCGGTAGAGGAGCTTATCATCGCCCATCTTGAGCATGTCGGTGAGCTTGGCAGCGTTCTGGGTGGTCTCCTCGAGGGAGTGCTCAATGCCAGCAACCTCAGCCTGGACTTCGATGGAGTCCTCCTCAAGTCCACGGAGGGCAGCGATGATGGTACGGGCCTCAGCGGACTTCTGCTTCATGACCAGCCAGCGAGGCGACTCGGGCAGGAAGTAGATGCTGCCCATCAGGATCAGGGAGAACAAAATTGCAATGGCGATAGGGGCGCGCCAAGTAACGGGACCAGTCTTGAACTCCCAGAAACCGAGGTTGATCCAGCTCTCCAGGACGTAGCCAACACAGGTGAAGAGACCAGTAAGGACGACATGGCGACCACGGTTCTTGGCGCCAGAAGTCTCAGACTGCCAGACAGGAACAATGGAGGACAGCTGGCCGATAGCGAGACCAACGATAATACGGCCGACGATGAGCTGGGCGAGGGAGAAGGCGGAGCACTCGAGAACCTCGCCGATGAGAGAGCAGAGACCGGCAAAGAAGATGACGTTGCGGCGGCCAAACTTGTCGCCAGACCAAGAGCAGGACAGAGAGCCAATAAGAGCGCCAATGGTGAAGGTAGCGACGACGAAGCCCTGAAGGGTGGAGTTCTTGTTCTTGGTGGCGCCAGTGGTGTTAACGGTGTCGATCTCGGGGAACGTCTTGACCCAATCCTCGGTAGTGAGCAAACCACCAAGACCGGCCTGGTTGTAACCGAAGAGGATGAAAGACGGGCACACAATCAGCGCGAGCTGAAGTATGGTCAGGCCATTGCCTGTGAGGCCGAAGAATGATGCGCCCATGGTCGACGGCTGGTGTTGTGTATGCACGGAGGTTGCCCGAACTCTAGTGAAAGGGAAAGGGAAGTACAACCGGTGTATAGACGAGAGGGCAACAGACGGTCGTCGAGGGTTGGATAGAGAGCCGATGAACAGACCGCGTCGAGGGCGAGAGACGGGCGTCTCTCTTAAAGAATTTCAGCGAGAGCGAGCGCGTTCATCTCATACCGACCCTTGTGGGGTGAGTTGCGGAGACCCCGCGGGATTCTGGCCGCAAAGCCAGATTCATAATCCAAAGCAGCTTACTTCTCCGTGTGTAAGGGAACCCGTCCCAGGGGCTGGCCAGTGCCCGGTGTGGAGGGCCGAAAGATGGAGAACCGTTGAGGAGGGGGAGAAGCCTGAGGTAGAAGGTCCGGAGGCTGGAGGGCTGGAAGGGGCTGCCAGAGGAGAGAGAGGCTCCTGGGAGCGGGCCAGTGTCGTCAATGCCGAACGCGCGCCGTTCCCAAGTGTTGTGTGTGACCGGGTGAGTCGGCCAGGGCTAAGGGCGGAAGTCGACCGAGAGAGGGCGGAGAGGGCCACACCCTTCCCGTCTGCGTAACGGCGATAGCTTCATCAGGTCTCCTTCGTGGAGACGCTCAGACGAATTGTCGTTCCACCCATTCGTCGCCTCGTTCGCAATTGCTCCTCCTGGGTTCCGCCCGCTTGCGTTTAATCCCTCTCGCCGTTGCTCACAGCTGCGGAGTCGGCAATTGGGGCGGGCGGGATAAGGGGTCGCAGCCGCGGGCGGTCGGTGGCCAAACTACCTTACCTTTACCTACGGATAGATCCAATCGTACGAGCCTCAATGCAGGCTTTCATGTTTATTCGGATGCACTGGATGATTCGGTGAAGGAAACACAGTCGCAGTCGTCCCCACAGCGCGGCATACCGCGCTTCCGCATCAGATGAAATGTCGTTGAAAGCTGTCACTCAGCACAGAGACAACGCCATGGAATGCGGCGAAAAACAAGCACAGCCAAGACGGCAGGTAGCGGTCGCCAAGGCCCGAAGGTAGGCCAAGAAGCGCCCTAAGGTCCGATATCACTCATATCAGTGGATTGTCGAATTGTGCACGACCGGGCAGAGAACCCCCACGTCACGAACACATGGCTGACTCGCGAAGCACGCCAACGGGGATAACGGCGTAAGCCAAATGACGACTGCTATCCCGTCTGGAACAGCGAAAATGACAGCGGCATAACGTATAAAAGAGCTGGCACGTCCCCTTCCTTGGAAAACTCTGAGCAGTGACCTCATTCCGTTTGGGCGGTAGCCAAAAGCATTTAAGTCTCAGAGGCGCCCTCGTGTTCATCCGCCCAAAGGGGCACCCCTGGTGGATTGCAACAGGCGCGACGAAAGAGCCGATCGGCCTCGTTTTCAAGTTTGACGGTTCGCCCCTTTCGCGGCTGGCATTCCCCGATGCAGCTTCTGCCTTTAGCAAAGCGGCACTTGGGACTGGACTGGCCCTGCATGCGAGATTCGGGATTCCACCCGCCCCAACCTGAGGACTTTGCAGCCTTCGGAGGATTACCGAGCCCACCCTGGCATGCGGTGATGATCCATCCAAAGCAAAAATCTTCATGTTCACGCTGCCTCAACAAGGAGCAGCCAAGAATGAAAACCTTGAAACGCGGAATCCTTCTCGTTCTTCTGAGAAATTCGATGTGACAATAAACGATGTGTCAATTTCCAACCAAGGTCCCACCTTGTGCTCAATGTTTCTAAGAGTTATGACCAAGACTTTTCGAGGGAGGCTTGGGGGAAAACCCGCAACGCGCCCAGAAACTTTCTTCAATCTTCGTGTGCCAACTTCGCGACATCTTCAGCATCTACTCCAACTTTGCGCCCGTCTTCTCCTCACTCTCCGCAATCCCCAGCTTCTCGACGTCGCGATGCTTCTTCTCCACGGTCACAAACCCGCAATGCGCAAGAGCGTGGGGGATGGGTCCTGGTCTTGTAACGAAAAGGTCAGCGAATCATCGGATGGCGTGCGGTTCGGGATGGTTTTCTAGTGCAACTCACTTTCCGTCTAGTTTTCGTGCTGCCCACTTGTCCACGGCCAGGAACGCGAACAACATGGCGACGTACATAGGCATCCCCGCGGGGTAATCGCCCTCCCACATGCAGAGCGGGTGAGAAATCACAGTCGAAGCCGTAAACCGAGCCCCGTATGATCTGAAACCTTGAAAAACGGCCCCGTACTCGTTGAACCATCGCACCCAAACGAAAGCGTTCATCACTTTGATGCCAGCGCGATGCCAGTGCGCGGACCCATATGTGTACCCTGCGAAGGTAGCGATCGCCTGTTGGAACGCCATCGCCTTGAAAGCAGCCTTCAGAACGGGCACATTTCCTTCTCGGACGTAGCCAGACAGCTGCACGCCAGTGGCTGTGAACCCGAGACTGAGTGCGAGGTCGAGCAGGGTCGGAACCGGAGAGTCTCCGAGAGCCAAGTAAAGGTAATAGTAACGGATCATGGCGAGAGTTCCACAGGTCAGGTGAGCGAGCAAGGGAATAAACGGATACTTCATATGCTTGACAATCTTTCTATTCGATGCCCGCCTCCAAGATGGCACGAGGTACCGTAGCCACCAGCTGGTCGTGAAGAGGATTTCTAGGAAGATGTGGTGCTCGGCGTACAGCTGTTGCATACTCTCCCAGTAGAAGTTGACCATGTCCGTGGTGGGTCCAGCAAGTTCAATTCCTGGCAAGCTGGTGTTGTTGTTACGAATGCTGAAAGAGCTGAAAACGCCGGCAAATAGACCCGACGAATCTAATGCAAGGTTTCAAAGAGACTGGGAAAGATTCTCTTTTGACAACAGGGACCCGCCTGCACCATGGCGGCTTTATATTTCTTTCGTCCCAACCATTGAAATGCGGAGTGGCACGGCCATTTACCCCGGACACAGACAGTTTATTCGAAAATCTGCGCCCGTCGTTGGCTCGCATGACGTCTTGAAACGCGAAAGCCTTAGTGCTGATATTTGTCGCCGTGAGGATGTTATTGCTGACCATTGGAGACTTTTGTGTGGCCAATGATCCAGACTAGAAAACGCCATGTACCTCATTTTCAGTCATCAACGCGCGGTTTTGCCTATCTACTCTGCACTTGGCTTGCTGTCTGGCACTTCGGCGAACTTGGCATAGGAACTTTGGACGAAAGCTATGCAGCCCACGCCCAATTCGGACAAAACAAGTACAAGTAGCCTGGCTTGGACAGGCATGGACAGGAGGGCAGAACTTCTTGCCTGATAGTTGAGCGTCGCCCTCAGGGTTGGATAATCATTCCGCCAATTCTATCGACCGAGTGCTGTCGTGTTCATGTCGTTGATCCTGGACTTCCAGCCTATGCAGGAAGAATCTGTTGCGGTAGGTGGTTCAGGTTGACTTTCCTCATCGAGAAACCTTGCCAATCAGATGCAGCTGCATTGTAATTGGTGAGCTGTGTGTTTGATGTGCTGTCCGGTTCTATCCAGTGAGCAGTCTGTATGATTTGCTCATTAACGAAGGCAGATTCAGTCAATCATCCGCCGGCACGTAACGGTTGAGGCGGCATTGTCATGTTAGCGACAATTGTGACGGGTTCCCAATTTTGTGGCGAAGAGATGTTTCGGTGACTTGCCGACTCATCTCGTCCGTCCAGTTTCACACGTTATGGGAAATCCCGATTGGTTCTTTCACGTGCAATTAGAATGGCTGGATGTCATTTTCCTGGTGTAGATGAAAAGAATGCAGTTCGATCGTAGCATTCCCTGGGACAAACTGCAGGTCTGCTTTGTCGGGGCTTGCATCAGCAAAGTGTTGCCCGAGGCATAGCCAAATTTGTGTGGATGCTTGCCCACTGCTCAGGGACCAGAGCCGACCAGGTTCGATCACCGTCATCCGGTCGAACTGGCTTTTTGCGTTCAAAGGTTTGGCGATCCGACATTCGTCTTAGAGTACATCCACGCAAATGCGACAATGACATCGGTTGACACATGTACTGCCAAGCCCCGACGAGTTCTCCGGCGACAACTCTATCTGCTGCCAAGGCCCCTCAGCCACGCCTTTTACCTCGGTCTAGGCCGATGAATAGTTAAACCGTTCAAGCGCCAGCGTCATACCTTTCCGTTGTGACATAGGGTCAGATATGGCTGTCCTAGGGGTGTTTCCTAGGCTGGGAGAGTCATTTGAGCGCAGATAGACTATCTCAAGTTCAATGAGAAGAGCGTACAAGACGGAGGCAACGATGGAAATGTTAGGTTGACGAATGATGAGTGATTTTTCATGAATAAAGAGAAGTAACATGTGGTATTGAATTAAACTGCTCGCAGACTCAACGCTGGCTCGCTTGCTCGAATCAAAGTAATAAAACGACTGGCTACCACCCACCCCTCTCATCAACTCCATGTGTTCTGGTCCAACACATGAATATTTCCATTCTGCTCAATTAACAAGAAAAACCTCCCATCCCAAGCCACAAGTGACCAACTACCAAGCTGTCTTCGCAAAGACGCTGTCCGGCCATCTCCTAACGGCATACTTTCTTGTCTCGTCAATGAGTAGAATACCCAGACCAAAGGTCATCGGCAAGAACCAGTACTCGACCGGAACAATTGCCGTACCGAGAGTGCTTTGGAACTCAGGCACGTACAGCCAGAAGAATACCATAACCAGCGCAAACAAAACGGCAGGAAACAGGTACCAGTTCTGCGTGCGCTTGTTTCCGATGGGTGGATGCTGGAACAACGACAAGCGTCTAGTTCTCACAGCGAGCAAGTTAAACCATTGCATGACAACCAAGTTGACGAAGTAGATCGAACTTGCGACGTTGAGCTTTTGCTGGTAGAAGTTTGGGTCAATGTTCGATGGCAGATTACCGAAGGAGAACCAGATGTCGGTGAACTTGATGCCGTTGCGCTCAAGATACCAGTATGACATGGCAAAACTTGCCAATGTCTCGAGGACGCCAACCAGACCATACGCCTGGACTACAAGCTGCCAGTCAACAAGGCGATCCTTTCCAGGTACACGGGGCTTGCGAAGCAAGACGTCAGCCTCAGGCGCTTCGTAGGCCATTGCAATGGCGGCGGCAGCGTCGGTGAAAAGACAGATGATAATCATGAGAAAACTGCTGAGGATCTGAGGAATGCCAAAGAGAACGTTCGTCATGACGGGCCAGAATTCCGAGAAGGAACCTGCAGGTAGAAGGTATGCGACTGTCTTCTTGAGGTTGTCGAACATCATGCGACCGTAGCGAAGAGCCTCGACAACGCTGGAAAAGGAGTCAAGAAGAACCATGTCCGCAGCCTCAATAGCAATGTCGCTACCAGAGCCGAGTGCAATGCCAACGTCAGCCGCACGGAGGGACGGTGCGTCGTTGACACCATCGCCGGTCATTCCGACAATCTGGTGGCGTGCTTGGAGCTCACGAACGATGCGAAGCTTCTGCTCAGGCGTTGTGCGAGCGAAGACGATCTCTTGGTATTGAGCGAGTTGGTCCCACTGGTCATCGTTGAGGGTCATCAGTTCGGGACCAGACAGCACGAGTGCTTGGCGAGGCGAGGATTCGAGGTCGTCGATGTGTCCCTTGAGAGAAGGATCGACGGTGGTGTTGCGCTGCAGAGCGGAGATGTCGTCGATTTGGGAGCGAGGGACGCTGATGATGTTACACTCGGCAGCGATGGCTTGGGCTGTAAGGGCAAAGTCTCCAGTAACCTGAATATCGTTAGCATCGAAGCCGGCCCAGAAACACAAGGCGTAGCTTACCATGAAAATACGGATACCGGCACCACGGAGAGTGTTCATGACTTTGGGGATCTCGGGACGGGGAGGATCGACGATGCCGACAATGCCGACAAGGGTGAGACCTGCCTTGGCCTGGTTGTTGGTTTCCATCTCATACGCGCTGTCGGAGGGGTTGCTGGGAAGCGCTGATCTGGAAATGGCCTTGCGAGCAAGAAGCAGGACTCTGCGGCCTTGGGCAGACCACTCATCCTTGATCTTTTCGATGGAGGCACGCGTCGCGGGATCGAGGGAAGTGGTGTATCCTGAAGGACTAACGTAGTTGCTCAGTCTACTCATCAGGATCTCCGGGGCACCCTTGATTGTCAAGAGACTGAAAGAGAAAATTAGTACATCTCACTCGTTTGGCTAGGGTTTGCTGGGTCAACTTACACGTCACCAGGTTGGAAGACCGAGGCCGTGTCTAAGGGCAGAGCGAGGGATAATCCATCAGGATGAGAGAGACCAAGCGCGCGAATCATGTACTTGTTCTTGCTGTTGAAGGCAAGTTCGTACTTCGTAGACCAGCAACGCTTGAGCTCAGCCACCTGCCCCAGACTCTCGGAGAAGCGAAGAATAGCCTGATCTGTAGCGTCACCATGAATGACCCGTTCGTGGAGAGGGAGGCGCATGGTGGCGGCATCGAACTGTCCGGCGTTGCATAGACCGGCGATAGCACGGAGCTGGTCCAGAGCATTGTTATTCGGAGCCGAGTGCTTGTTGATCGCCAAAGTGTCCCGGGCTGACTGGGCCGTCATCTTGTTCGTTCCGATGGCGCATTCGGTAACAATCATTTTGTTCTACGACGGAGTCTATTAGCATGTAGTTCAATTCAACGAAGCACCATCATGGTCTTACCTGAGTCAGGGTACCAGTTTTGTCGGAACAGATGATAGAGACCGAGCCAAGAGTTTCGACAGTTTTAAGAGACTTGCAGAGGATCTTGTTCTTGCGCATCATATTGGCGCTGATGGTCATACTGGCGGTTAAAGCCACAGGTAGACCCTCCGGGATGAAAGCTACCGCAACAGACACGCAAGAGATGATCAAGTTGGGCACGTTGATCCAGTTGGGGTATACCCGCCTCAACCAAGCAGCCCTGCGCGATTTATTAGCGAAACCAAGTTAACCATCATCGTACCACTATTATTCTTACCAGACGATCAAGACCAAAACGATCATGAGGAACATGATAGAGCAGATGATGAGAACAAAGTGGAGGACTTCACGTTCCAGCGTGGTGAGTCCTTTCTCGGGCTCGTTGGTCAGCTTCGCGATGCGACCAAAGATGGTGTTATCACCCGTGGCCACGACCACACCAGTGCAGGTGCCCGAGACGCAGTGCGTGCCCTGGAGACCGATGCATCGCGTTTCGAGATAGTTGTTATCGGTAGAGTCGACTGCAGCGGGGAGAGGAACCGACTCACCTGTTTTCATTCTTTTCGTTAGCGCACTGCATAACCCAATACCGTTGATTGTCAGCCGACAAAACAGCATTGAAGACGTACCAGTCAGGATAGCTCTATCAAATTTGGCATCCGATGACACCTTGAGGAAGCGCACATCAGCAGGCAATTTGTTACCGCTCTTGATGATCAGAATGTCTCCGGGCACAATCTGGTCAGCGAGAAGCTCGACCTGATTACTGTCGCGGATGACCATGCAGTTGTCTGGAAGCATGGTCTTGATCGAGTTCATGACTCTCGATGAGGACCAGTCTTGCCACATGTTGAACGCAGCCTGGATGAAGAACACAGCCAGTAACACAATGGCCAACGCCAAGTTGGCAACGGCCGGTGGGCTTCCCAGGGGCTTCCATGCGATGAAGACCAGGATGGACGCCACCAGCAGGACAGTACCAAAGCCTTTGAAGAAGTATCCGAAGATTCTCTTCGTGTTATGGGAAGGCGGA